GCACCTGATGCTGATGAACTTGGAGCGAGCTAAAGTTGAATCTTCTCCTCTTTAATCCCGGGTCATTCATCACTCTTAATCCTTTAAACCCTCTCTCACCTCAGAGTCAGGGCCGGAGCAGTAAAATATCACACAACACCATATTTCACAGCACAACCTGGGGTCCGGCCCTCTGATAAGCTTAGTGCTGTCAGCATCTTGGCAGTGAAACTGTCCAGGTAGTTTGTGCTGCAAATGACTCAGCATCAAAGTACAAATCACTTGTGTGAACACTTTTGTAGAGAAAGTCAAAATATATTTTTTTCTTCCCCTGAAACTATGTGGGACATACTGCTACCTGGTTAGTGATGGAGAATATTTCAACGAGCTATCTTTACTGCAGCGGAGGGAAGTAGTAAAGCACAAATGCTTTGTTACTTTTTCAGGTATCAGTATTTCACTTGCGTATTTATTTCTCTGACAACTTTCTCCTCCTCACATTTTCAAACAGGCTTGTTACTTTTATTTAAGATCATTGATCTCCGCCTTCTCAACATCAAGATAGATTTTAACCTAAACCAAGATCATAGCTTTTTCTTGAGTATTCAAATTGAGACAGTCCTGTTTGTTTCTAAACTATCCCAGCTGTGTGCATTTGGATCATTAATTTTCTTCGAGAGGTGCTGGGTCACCTGTTGCTTGATCCGAGCTTCCTACATCACAATCTTTGTAAAGATGATTATAACCATGAGCAATGACTAAAGATAAATATATTGAATAAGTCGTCAAATAAACTTCTACCAGACTAGATAAAGGAATCTTTCTTCTTCTACTACTACAAGCAGTGACATTGTCAACAAGCATTGTGATTGGTTAGATGTGCACATGTTGAATGTGAAACTTTCTGAAAAAATCGACATGGGTCAGAAAAATAAAAGCTGCAATATCTCTCAGTGAAATTCTGTAGCAGATGTGAAAGCTTGCGAATTAATTGCATGGAAATGTGTCAAGTTTGCATAGGCCTTCACTCAAAATCTTTTTAATGATGCAGTTGAGTCATTATGGATCTTCTCAATGTCTTTGGAATCAACAACTACTTTCAACCCCTACACACATAAAAACTGTAAAAACTAACAATTCACCCTTTCTCAAAAACGATGATGCATCACATTTTAATTCTAAAGAACTTACTCACTCATCCAGCTTGAGTGAGTGGTGTATCTTCAGCCTTTGGTGTAATTTTCCCACACTCTGCTGAGCTAAGCTTGACCACAGAAGGATTCTGGTCTTTTTGTCTGTGTTTATGGCTTTGTGTTTTAGCATCCAATGTGTGTATCAGCAGGGAACCACGTCCATATGTGCTGTGTCTCCGTCTCATTAACCAAACTTATCCACTGGAGGGAACGTTTTACAAAAGACGAAAGAGAGGTAGAGCAGAGAGAAAAAGAGATGGAAAAAGAAGAAAGAAAGAAGAGGAGAGAAAGGGATGAAAAAGTACAGAGTAAAATTAAATTGGAGGGATTTTAGCAACATGTTATTTCCAACATTGTGTTTTTAAAGACCATTACTGTTAACTATATCCATAGCCTGTCTAGAAAAATGGATGTAGACGCCAGGTCTGGAGAGTGAAACCATCAGCAAATGCCTGAATCTGTATTCTCTCAAATGACCAGCAGAGGGCGACTCCTGGGGTTGCAAAAAAAGTTTATGGTCTCAGGCACTAGTGTCAGGTCTTCTTCTATACAGCATGAAGTTTATTTTGTAAATCATAAACAAATTTAGAGTAAAAAAAGATGATAAATCTTGGTATGCATCCAAATATATTGTTCTGATTTTTAAAAAAACAAGAAAAACAAGCTGCCACTGGCCCAAATACTAATCTCCAGTGGGAGACACAACGGATCAAAACGCTTTGACTTACACAGTTCTTGTGAGCGTACTACACGAATAGTCAGGCAATCATCACCCGTCATTAGGATTCATCACAGAGAAAACATTAATGTACAAAATGAGCTTGATGGGCTTTTGTACTCTGGTTTAAACACAACATAAGTCTATTGTTCTTTTCTTCTGTGAATTTACTGATGTGTTACGCGTGTGTTTGCATTTTCTGGATGGTAACAGATACTCACGCATGTTACACAGAAGTGAACACAGAAGTAACAATTTGTCTTTCTCTCTCTCACTCTGGCGTTCTCTTCTTATTCTTCCATACCAGGGATCTGTAATCATGTAGATAATGTAGAGTGTGAAAGATGTGGCACAGGGGTGTCTTGTCATTAGAAATAACCGCAGATTATGTGAGCATTGTGGACTTCAACCCAATTCAGGTCACTTTCATATCCACGTGGTTCGGACCGGATCTTTTCAGTTTAGTCCGCACCAAACAAGCAGGTCTGAGAGGTGCCTCCAATCACCAATGGACCAAATTTTGGTGTGGCACACTGAAAACTGTTTTGGATGATGAATAGGGAAGAATGTGATTGAACTGCCAACCTAAGGTTGGCTCTGACTCCTAACTCCTGAGCCACAACCACCTCTAACTAACTGGATGAAATTTAAAAAATGTAGGACATGAAACATTGTTTAGACCTTCAGGTGTGAAAATGCTCTAAAAGTCACTATTTCCTGACCTGCTGCGTTAGTTTTGACCAGTCACTTTTTCATCGTTGCTCTTTAGTGACGTTAATGGACATGTACTGCAAAATTATTGTTGGTAGGCAGAAGATACAGAAGAAAGGAGGGTGAAGGACGAGCATGAGGAGGTGAATCAGGTTGTATTTGTAGTGAGGGTTCAGTGAACTGCATGGGTAATGAAAAAACATGGCACAGAGCAGTGAACAGGTGCTGACCATGTGTTCAGTGTAAAGGCAGTGACACACACACACACACACACACACACACACACACACACACACACACACACACACACACACAGTCAATGCCTGCCCCATGCACTCACTCCTGGACAAAACACAGCGCAGGTCTGCAGGGTCATGTGTGTCTGTTATTTTGTATGTTTGCATTGTGTGTATGTGGATCTCACAACTCAGCGATGCGTGACAGAGTGAGATCGAGGAGGTTCTAAATTCCTACATTTCTATGGGGAGTCTTCCCAGTTATTTACCCTGCTTGCTGTGCGCTTTTATTCTGAAAGCCACACACAGACTCAAGATACTACACACACACACACACACACACACACACACACACACACACACACACACCTGGTCTGGAAACAGCTATATGTGAGATAATGGATGTGTCTTCATTTTAGGGTCAGTGGCGATGTGTCCCACCTTAAGAGCAGTGACACCTGGACCCATCACTGTGAGACATGCAGGGAAACATACACAGAAACACACATGAACAATGAGAGGGTAAAATGTGATTAGTACTGGAGCTGGGATGTCGGCTCTGTTTTGTTCAGTCAATGACATCTGTCCTGGGTTATTCAATCACTGCTAAACACCTCTATGTGCAGGTGTGAACAAGTTTGGATGCATTTGAAATCGGATCACCACTGGTTGCTGGACACATTCACACTGTATGAGACACATTCTAATGACTGGTGTGAACTTGTGAACCTACGTGTATAGCAGTCCACTTGTGATCAGATCACACAAGACCAATGTTAAATGACCATTGATAATTCTTGATCTACTGACTAATTCAATATTTGTCTGTCTGTCTGTGGAACACATACCTTGAGAAAATAGGATGCACTACTGGAATGTGTGTTGTTGAGGGACCAGGGAAGTCTGATTTGGACATTTAACTTCCTTCAATTCTATTAAAAATGGGTTAGGGTTATAAATAAACTGGCGATCAACTTTTGTTTTTTTGTTGCAATGCTTTATACTGAGCAGAATAACAGAGCTGAAGATTGTGTTGGTTGCTTCACAGACCTCAGAAACTGAAATGTCATATAAAAATTAAGTTCAGTAAATCATTCAAACTTATATACAAAACTCACAAGTGAACAGTGATAAAGCATTGAATCATTTTATGAAAAACATTTACTATAAATCATTCAATGCAGATAAACCAGGTAGGATGAATGAAGTCTGCACCATAGACTATGAAAAGCTCTGCACACAACGTCCAGCACATAAACAATAAAGAGACAGTATATTGTAGAACTGTTTGAGGGGGACTCACCAATGCCCAGGAATAAACAGGCAGGTTCATATGTAGTTACACTTTTTTAGTCAAGGACACACTAAGAATATTTTACCTGAGGAGGCAACTGAGTAGTAAATAATTGAAGCAACTTGGAGTATGAGATAATATGTAATATATTAAGTGCTCCATCCAGTGGCTGAGTTAAATCATATTTTCTTTATCTGCCTTCCTGCCCGTTGTGCTGCCTGACCTTTGATGGTTTCACCAGTGGTCCTTATCAGCTGTGTATTTAGTTTGTTTTCCTCAGTTCTCTGTCTGTTAAACTCTTTAGTGTTCTCTGAGAATACCAGCATTCTTCCTTATTCTTTCTGAGTGTAATACCCAGTTTGTCATTTGATACCTCTGCCTGATCTGACTGTCTATACCTGTGTCTTAACTGACTGTTGTTGAATATAGTCTTGCACTTGAGTCCTTATTTGTTACCAGTCTTTACATTGAGGAGGATGTATCAAGCCTAGTTTATGCTTCTGCGTCACGTCGACGCCGTATCTACGCCGTTGCTCTGCAATTCACCGCCATGCCGCTAGGGGGGTGTGGCTGTCTGTTTGTGTGGTTATAGCCGAATCCTCGTTTTTTCTTCCGTAAAGTAAACAACAGTAAACAATGGCGACCGAGGTGGAGCAGCTGTATTTGGAGTTGGAGCTCATCAATATTGAAGAACAAATGCTTATATTGCAAATGTTGAAGCGCGGGCGACAGAGAGGACGTTTGCAGAGGTGGTTTGTACCACGAGGAAGAAAGACCGGAAAAACAGCTGCCGGAACTTCTGAGCGGACCAATCACAGCGCTTGCGGTCCGCGTCAAAGGATTTTTTGAAGGTGCGCGTCAGGCTATGACGCAAAAATAAAGTGAAAGTCCGCTTGTCTGCTCAGTCAGGAAAGAGACACCTCGTGAAACCTGCATTACAACAACAGCTGTGGGAATTACATTGGATTGAAGAAATGTATCTTTGACTGTAGTGGTAAGATTGATACCATCTACTTTATCAAATTCATACTTTTTTTCTAATTCAATCATTTTGCCATGTCTGAGTATGTGCTGACACAAGGCCTCTTTTGCCTTTTAAAGTATTAAATAACCATATATTTAAATCCAGCGGAAAATATCTTATTTATTAATATAATGATGTTAGTTGCTACTTTATGCAAGCGCTTGAGGCAATATCTGACTACGATTCAGAACAGACGAATCCTTCGCCTTCAAATCTTTTTAGTGCCAGGTCCCTCAGAGAAAACTAAGTGGAACAAATGATTTGCTTTTTTGCCACTAGACCTTCATCAGGCTTGATGTAAGACGGTGCAGGAGGTTTTATTTCCATAATATCTGGCTATAAAAGTGGGTTGTCAAGGTGCACAACAAGTTCAAGGTCCATACACTTTATATATTTCATTTGAGTAATTATTAACCTCTAACTTTGAAATCCCGAGGCTCATAGTTTTTACTCAGATTTTCTTGATATAAATACCACAGGAACTGAAGGACTATTTGTCAGTGACATTCTACCATTTGCTGACTTGTTTTCAGGGAGATTGTGGCTAAAACCAACAGCTACAAGGGACAGGCAATGTTCCCATCACCTGAGAAGTACATGTAAGTACAATTAATAATTAACTTCACACTGAATACCATTGAAATGTGACACAGTAAAATATTAAAGCAAGACAATGTATTGGTTTTACCTTAAAGTCGAACCAATAATAAATAACAACTTGAATTTATATAGATCAAATCTCTGTACTGCAATGTGTTTTGACACTGTAGTAAATATGCATAGTGACTGCCCTGGCTATTACACCTAAATTTTGCAGTTGGCTAATCTGTTAAAATCATCCTTCACTCAGAAATGTGCTTATTCCTTCCTTCACTTGAATGTCTGAGCTTGACTCTGAAGAGTGACGTACACTGGTGCATTTACATTGACTATAATTGACATATTGGAGCGCTCATAATTTAGAAGATGTCTGTTAATGTTTGACATTGTAAAGACACTTCTTCTGTTTGTGTTCAAGGTCTCATGACAAAGAAGGATCTGTCTCTCCTGAACCCAGCCATGTTTCTGTGAAAAGTGACAGCTCCATGGACAAAATTATAAACTTCAGTGACAAACAACAAAGGTGAGATCATTTTGGTAATGCCAGGGCTTTGGTACAGATGGATTGGATAAGACCCCAAGACTTTGGTGACCGCTTTATTGTTTCCTTACATCTCCCTTTCTGTCTGTCCTTTTTCAAACCAAAGCTGTGTACAATTTTTATGTAGTATGGATGGTAAGTATAACACAGTCAAGCCTTTTATATAGCTCCACAYCAGTCCCAGTTAACCAAGGTGTGCCGCAAGGCTCAGTGCAGGGCCCCCTTCTTTTCACCATCTACATACTCCCGCTTGGTTGTATCTATCCTTTCAACATGGCCTTCATATCAACTCCTGTACAGAGGACACCCAGCTCCATCTAAGCTCTCATCCATCCACTCAGCCTCCCCCAGTCACTAGTCAGTTGCCTGCACGACAATAAAATCTGGATGACATCAAACCTTCTCAAACTGAACAGTAACAACACTGAGCTCATGGTTGTGGCCCTCAAGACTCTGCTCCAGAAGGTTGGACACCTCSTACTCTACATTGACGGCTGCTCCCATCTCCCCATCCCCTGAGGTTCGGAACCTGGGTGTCATTCTTGACTCCACCCTCTCCTTCCAAACCCACATCAAATCTGTCTCCAAATCCGTCTTCTTTCACCTCAAAAACATCTYCAGAGTCTGGTCTTCACTCCCTGACTCCAGGACAGAAACCCTCCCTCATGCCTTCATCATCCCCCGCCTGGATTACTGTAATGGGGTCCTGTCTGCTCTACCAGACAACATCCTAAACAGACTTCAATATGTACAGAACTCTGCTGCCAGGKTTCTCACCCGCACTAAGCCCTGGCAGYACATCACCCTTACTCTTATTCAACTTCACTGTCTCCTGATAAAAGCATTCTTAATTAAAGCTCTGTAGTATGTAATGCATTTAATGATATGGAAGGCATCTTTGGGTCTCTTGAAAGGCGCTATATAAATGCAAGCTATCATCATTATTATTATTATTATTATAACTAAAACATAGTAGTGTGGATGTAGCCTGAGCCAAGATAGGAAAAACAATGGGCTTCATGCAAGAAAAATGTATTGTTTTCCCTAAATTTCTCTTACATTTGATTGTATGGTTAGTTCGTACAAACAGATTTAACAAACTTCTAACTCTGCTCTGACAAATATAGTGTATATAGTGTTTATATTGTAGCCTATATACAACTTGCACAGAGTATGCATCACCCCTCTGATGCTTTTCATTGTTTTAACTTCAACGTCACAAAAAATACAACTATTCATCATATTTGTAAAATATCCTGTAACATTACTTTGCCTTGTCAGACGATGTGGTTTTTT